TCACCGTGGCTGGGGGTGCCCAGGCATGGCGGGCACAGTGCTCCAGGGCCCCGCAGCGCAGCGCCGTCTCCCAGCTCTGGCACCAGGCGGAGGGGGGCACCCCACAATGCCCTCCCGGCACCCCCAGCCCTGCGGCCACCGTCAGCACCCGGCATCCCCACCCCGGCCTCGCAGGGGACCCAGGTGTCTGGGAACTCCCACCTCAATGCTCCCCCCCTGCTGTCCCATCCCAACCCAAGACCCCAAGAGGGGACCTAGATGTCTGGGTCCTTCACTCTCAGTGTGAGTCTCCCCCCCTCCCTTCACCATAGGGCCCATGGGGAGCGTGCACCCAGCTTGGGGAGGGACGAGCCAGTTTTGGGGGGGCACCCAGCTTTTAGGATGCACCCAGCTGTAGGGAGGGGGATGACCCAGCTCTATATGGTGCGCCCAGTTCTGGGGACACACACCCAGCTTTAGGGGGCACCCAGCTTTGGAGGGGGGCACGCAGTTTTGGGGGGGCACCCAGGCTGGGGTTGCGGGGTTCCCTACCTGGGGTGGCACAGAGCAGGGTGAGGAGGAGTGCCAGCACGGGTGATGGTGCCATGGCGGTGCTGGCAGGGCCAAACCCTGCCGGCCTCTTATAGCCCCAGCGGGAGGTGGCCGCTGGGTCTGTGCCAGCACCACGGGGACACGTGCGCCACGGCCACGGGGACACCTGGGGGCTGCCACCCTGTGTGGCCCCCCCGTGGCCCTGCTGGCGTCCCCACAGCCCCGTGTCCCCCATGGCCATGTCCCCATCAGGGTCACCGTGTCCCCATCCCACCCCGGTGCCTATGGTGTCGGGGGACAGACACAGTGCTGCTCCTGCGGTGACAAAGACTTTATTGAGCTGGGAGGGACGGGGTGGCCTGTGGGGGGGGACGACGGGGGGGGACGACGTTGGTGACATCAGGTGCCTTCGGAGCCGGCTGGTGCCTGGGGTGGGAGAGGTGGCAGCATGTCCCCGTCTCCCATGTTGTCTTCATGTGCCCACACCCCTGTGTCCTATGTCCCCTCACATCCCTGTGTCCCGTGCCACCCCCCCCCCCCCCCC